AAGTCGATTCGTCCCACAAGTCGATTCGTCAGATTTTAAGGTTAGCCCACTACTAACTCGCCAAATAAGCACAAAAAATCCAAACAACGAACGTGGAGTTATTAGTTAATGAATACAAATGAAGAGTTATTAGTTAATACATACAAATACACCGTACATGCAATGAAGAGTTATTAGTTAATATTAAATACAAATACACCGTACACGCAACGTGGAGTTATTAGTTAGCGTGTCAGTAACAGTTGGCATAGAAATTGACCCTGCTCAAGATCGTAATGCTGACCACAAATTAAAAAAAAATGAACGAATGTGAATTGGGACGAATGTGAAATGGGACGAATGTAAATTGGGACGAATCGACTTGTGGGACGAATGTGTTGGGACGAATGTGATTTGGGACGAATTGACTGTGAATCGAATGCAGATCTGATTAAATCCGCGTACTAGTATTGAATAAACTATTTGGAGCTACACGCCGTCTTTACAGGTCGTACCTGGATTTAAACCCATTAAAATTTGGTTAACACGTAAATTCGCCCGTATCCCTGTGACCTTTTGGCGATTATAAACTTGACAATTTTACTAATGAACCCTCAAATAAGGACTCGCATGGGAATGCCCGTGAATAAACTGACATTGCTTAATTGTTTCCCGTGACACATTGGGGAGACTCCCGCTTAGCTGTGCAATCATATCCAATGACATTGAAAACAGGTCACATTTTTACGAGCGATGGGATCCACTTCTACACTCACCCCCTTGTTCATGGATTCAAACAAAGCTGTTCCTCCTTGGTCAAATGCCCTCTCAAAGAACACTGCTCCAACTAGAATCGACAGTGCAAATGCCGAAGACCGCCTGAATATCGTATTATAAACGGTTCTCAAGAACATTTTGATAATCAACGCTCGATCGTGTGCCGGTAAATACGTAAAATGGCGTCTGCTGACCCGGAAGAACACATACTCGTGAAGTCGTTAAAATGTTAATGCGTCATAACATTAATCGAACCAAAATTCACTTGGAATACGTGTTATTCAAGAAAATACACATATACTCATTTTGATACGGGATAAGAATAAACTGTATATTAATTATATCGAATATTATTTACCAAAGATCAAGAACTTTTTTTTTTGCGTAGATACACACCAATTTCTGGAGGATGTAGTTTGTCATGTCAAAAGTTCATGGGTTTCCGGAAATGTTCCTACTCAGAAAGGCTCTCAAACACACGAACTTATGGATCGGTGATATTTTACGCAATTCGGCGACAGCCCACCTGCGTCGCTTCTATGGTTTGAACCCTTGTGAAGCAACTGAAGTAATGTTGAAGGTTTTATCATATTTATTATCATATTTAGCATATTTTCCGTGACATTCACTGAATTTGAAAACAAAAGTCAACACAATAACAACATTGGCTCGCTGAGTCGATAATCACATATCACCACAATGGGCAAACGTTACTACTGCGATTATTGTGACAAGTCGTTTGCAGACAACCCACAGAATAGAAAAAAGCATATGAAAGGCGTACAACACATGAAAGTTGTAAAAGATCACTATGACCAGTTCAAAGGTGAGACCCCCTTAACAAAATATGCCCCCCACAAAATGGTCTTTTAAATATATTTCAAGCCCTGAAAATGAAATACAATGCAATTATCCAGAAGTTGACAAGTTAATTGTAAACTCAGACTACTAGAGACAGACTAGTAATGCCTGTTGTAGGTGTGAATTGAGGATTCCGTCCATAGGATGTGTGCCTCGACAGACCTTGCTGATAGTTTAATGACACACGTTAACCCTAAGATTACAGAGTACACTCACATTTACCTGCTTGGTGTGTTGCCAAATGCACCTGCGTATACTTTTCGATCTAACGAATAATGAATTCTGTGTGTTTTGACCTTTCGATCGATGAATTTTCCTAGAATATGTGAAAATTTTTCTATAAAGGTCAAATGGCGGTGTTTGCTTTGACAGTGTTCCTTTGTGTGAACATGCACTTCGTAGTTTTTGTGGTCAATGCGTTTGAAAACTTGATATGCTCATGCAACTAAGCGATTAAAGTCATTGAATAATAGTAGGAAGATGATATTTTAATGGAGCATAAATTTTAGATATCTCTATTCTCGGTTGGTTCATAATTACAGAAATATGGAGATTATTTAACCAAGAAAAAAAGAAAATGAACTACGACCCAACAAATATACTCCATACATGTACATCTCCCACTATCTTGTGTTATTTGATGAAATAATAAAGGACATCACGTTATTACGTTTTAGTCACGTTAGTTCGATCGGTTGTTTATAAAAGTTAAGCCCCAAAACAAATGTGGCATGCATGTGACCAAAGGAAAAGCCGCGTTGCTAGTCTGCCTGTAGTTGTAAACAATCTTCCAGGAATCTTTTATAAATATCACTCATTCACTTCTTGTGTACTAGGGTTTGAAACACTTTAATTTCTTAAATAAGAGACAAGTGTTCTTAAATTTGCCAGTCAGAGAAAATGCATAGTACTCACAGTGATCTGGCGTACATTTGACAATAAAATAAATGCTACTAATGTACCAGTATTTACTATATGGTTAAAGCGGGGGAGTCGTCTCCTACGCATGCGTCAGATGGCCATAGTGTCATTGTTTACAAACAAGCGTCTACCCATGAGGCTTTGTGTTTTTAGCATGTGTTGTTATCGTCACTTGGGACTCAATTCCCGCGCGTGCGCAGGTGACGACCCTCCCGCTTTAATAGTAAATTGTCTACTTTTTTTTATTAAGACCCTGCCATTAAGCTCAGAGAAGAAAGTGCAAAGAAACCATGCAGGAAATTCCAGATGAATGGTAAGAAATGCAGGGAGAATATGAACCATTCTTTAAAAGCAATTGATTGCAGCTGTGGCAACTATTATGTATTATGCATATTCTAGAAATAGTAATATTAAGTAGTATACAGCGTTCTCTACGAGTGGTTTTAACAGGGTGCCACTGCTCAGTTATCTGAAATTGGCGCCCTGGTTCATTGTTTTAAAGCGTGACTGTGAAAATTCAAACTTGTTATCATAGCAGGTCACCGGGCGGTGATAACACCACCAAAGTTTTTTAACACGATTAACATGTGGCCTAACATACCCATATTTTTTACTTTTAATGTGATGTCAAATATTTAAAATCAATATCAGTAAAACCCCTCATTTAAACATAAGGTCTATGGTTAAAACCAAGTTCACATCGTGACCTGTAGCGGCAACAACGTCACTACTGTGCGTAATAAAGGCATCCATTTGCATGATCGGTAAATGACCAGCGCAACCGACGTACCATCAGACATTGTTGATCACCAAGAAGTCCACACCAATGCTTGCTTTTACATATAAATGTTTATATTTTGACGAATGTGATTAAAGTAGAATTTTCTTTAAAAACCTTGGTAAAAAGGCCATGCATGCTTTCAACTCGCATCATAAGTGGAGGAAATAAATGTATTTGTGTTCTTTTTGGAACAAATATTCTGATTGTTTGTTTTTTTCGCGTCAGTGTATGGCTTTATCTAATCAAATGCATTGTTACGTAGTATCAGGATTCACACAGTCAAATAAACTGTTTCCGGGTCATAGCTGTTTTCAACGAAGCACACATCAACAAACTTTGATTCGGCTGAAAAATATTCTTTTAAGTATGTATTTTTTTTAGTGGAAATGCTATTATTTTTTATGGAAACTTAACTGCAAAGCGAAAATCTTCTATTGTGTAGATTTTATTTCGTTTGATCATCATGCTTTTTGGTGTCGATGACGTACATTCCTGCACGTTTTTTAATGAACCAATTTCCAATATAAATTTTATATTGCTTCATTCAAAATAAATATAAAATCAAAATTTTTGTGACAAATTTATAA